CTACTATTTTTTTTCTAGCAATTCCCAACTTGATAGTGGTTGCTTGCAGCTTTGTTGGAAGTAAAAAAGAATTTTAAAAATATAGATAACAATGCTTAAATAGGTTACTTTTAAAACTTTTGGCTGTAAACAAAGTCAAAATAAAAATTTATCCGAAAAATTCTAAGTGATGCATAAAGTTTAGTTTATTTATTGTTTAATTATTATAATAATGTACTATAAAAATATTAAAATGCCATTGGTTGGAAAATTGGTAAAAGAAGCCGATGCCGATTCCAATTGTACAAAAAGTGGCTGATTAAGCCTATGCTAATGCCGATTAATCAGTACATCACTAATATATATATATATATATATATATATATATATATATATATATATATATATATATATATATATATATATATATATATATATATATATATATATATATATGCATGTATGTATATGCTGCATTTTGGGTTTTGGATCAGCTTTTTTACTAGATAATGAAACAGTCTCAATAAGAATTTATTTTAATTAAAATTGTTTGAGCTGATATCAATAATTACAAATATTTAATAAGTAACCTAATTGTTTTTGCATTAATAATTAGTAATTAATTATTAATGATCATTTTAAAAAGCTCAAAAAATATTTTTTTAAAAATAATAAAAAAAAGGATATATAAGAACTGCATTCTTTGAAGATAAAAATCCAGTTTGCTATGAAAAAAAAATATGCTACTTTCAAGTTAAAAATGATTGTATCAATTTAAAATGCACTTTTATTTTGGATGAAGTCATCAAGAAATATTACAGAGTTTATTGGTAGCCCATGGAATTTTAATTTTATTTTTCACTTATAAAGAATACCTTGAAAACTGATTTATAAAATATCTCACAATCTTTTCAATAATTTAAAACAAAAAAATAAAACTGCTAAAAAAATTAAAGATATTTTTTTTAGCAAAACAAAAAAAAAACTTGTGTGTCACTAGTTTTTTTTTTTGTTTTGCTAAAAAAGTTTTTTTGTCAACAAGTGAATGATAATAAATCACTATCAGCATTTTTAATTGCAAATGATAAACTTTATGATGTAAACAATATTGTTATAGTTATTTTATAGAAGAGCTATTACCAAATTACCACTTTATTACATAAATTACATAAATTAACCAAGTCAGGGACAAACTAGAGAAGAAGATGTTTCAAAAGCAGTCACTAATAATTAGCAAATGAACTGGCATTAACAAAATTATTGTTATTTTTACTGATGATACTACCATTTATTCTTGTCATGATAAGAAGCCAACTCCCTCTAATTGCTTGCAGGGGGCATCTGAGCTTGAAAAAGATCTCACTTCTGCTACAGCATGGGGCTCACAGTGGCTGGTGAACTTTAATTCAGATAAAACTCAATATTTTTCAGCCAATCGTTATCGCAATAATTTAGACCTTCCTATATTTATGAACGGTAATGTACTCGATGAGTCTACCTACCTTTTATCTTCTAGGATTAACTCTTACTTCTGATCTTTCTTGGAAACCTTATATCAAATCCGTTGCAAAATAAGCATCTGCTAAAGTCACTTCTCTTTATCGAGCTCGTCACTTTCTTACTCTGGATTCAATTCTCTATCTCTATAAATCTCAAATCCGGCCTTGTATGGAATACTGTTGCCATATCTGGGCTGGATCTTCTAATGATGCCCTTTCTCTTTTAGTAAACATAGTTGGACCTACTTTTGCAGCCAACCTTCAACATCTGTCACATCGTCGTAATGTTGCTTCTCTTTCTCTTTTCTACAAATACTATAATGGGCACTGCTCTAAAGAGCTAGCGTCTCTTGTGCCATCTACAAAAATTCATCCTTTTTCTGTTACTGTTCCTAAGTGCTACAAAACCTCTTATTTGGCTAGTTTTTTTCCTCAAACATCAGTTCTTTGGAATTTGCTTCCTTCATCTTGCTTTCCTGATTCATATAATTTGCAATCTTTTAAGTCGTCTGTCAACCGTTATCTTGCTCTACAATCTTCATCTTTTCTCTTTCAGTAACTTCCAACACTAATTAGTGGTTGCTTGCAGCCTTGTTGGAAGCGAAGATGTTAAAAAAAAAAAAAAAAAAAAAGATAATGCTTCAAACATGAAGGGTTCACAAAAAGCGTTTATTAAATACCATTATAAAATTTCAAAAAAAAAGTTTTAAGGAAAAAGAAATACAGCATTTTTCTGCTAAAAGCAATGCTTTCATTAAAATGTAATTTTATATAAAAAAAACTGGAACATTTCTTCATTCCTCAATATGAAAACATTTTTAATGAGCAAATTCAAATATAATGGATATCAATTTCTTTGCTGAAGCAGTAAAAATAAAAGTTTCACTTGTAAAATACTTTTGAGAACTCAGAAAGAAAAAGGAAAATTTGACATTTTCTATTAAACCTTTTGACACTTTTTCATTAATTGATCTAGCCAAACTTGAGCTTGAGTTGTGAGATTTACTAATATAATACAAGATTTTAATTAATAAATAATAATAACTCATTCATTTTTAATGCAAGATTAAGAATGAATGAGTTATTATTATTTATTAATTAAAAATGAAAAGTTTTTAAAAGGCTGTTGAGCTTAAAGATCTCAATTGCTAAAAAATCTAATCTGACACTCTACACTAATCTGACACTCTACAGTACTTACTTTTGAAACTTATTCATTAGATAGAATGAATTTCAAAAGTTAAACTTTGTATTTTTATATTATTTAAACTTTGTTTTTTTTGTTACTGTTTTTTTTTTTTTTTTTTGAAGTTTTTTTACTTTTAATTTGATTTTTCTAAATAAAAAATTGTTTATGAATCCGGTTCTAGACACTATATCAATTATTTATGATAACAACTTATCAAAATATCAGACATTTTACTGGAAAACTATTTTGCTATATGTAGACCAGAATCATATGTCTTCAACACTTCATAGGATGTTGTTTCATAACTAAAAGAAATTAAAGTTTGCCCCAGTAGTATTTTTTAATAATTTGTTCCACTAATATATTCTGGTAAAATGTTCCAGTAATTTGTCCCAGTAGTATGTCCAGTAGCAATTATATCAAACCAGATTCAAGATAAAGCATCATGATCATCCTACTATTGGTAACATCAATGGTGAAACTTTTGTGTTTAAAATATTGTGCTGACCTTTTTTTTCTTATTCCAAGAGAATGTAATAAACAACCTAGTAGAATTTCCTTCATTAAACATAAAAAACTATGACCACCACATAATTGTTTCAATTTATTTTTTGGTGTGCATTGTAGTCCACAAGGAACATAGGAAAAGTTGGTAGGAATGCTCAAGGTATTTATTGCCCACGGTGTCATGGTGTATGGTGGTGTCATGGTACATGGTCTCATGCACTATCTATGATTGAGTCAAGTTTTGTATTTACTTATAAATACAAGTGTTTACAAAAAACACAAAAGTTTACATAAACACAAAAGTTTAAATACAAAAAATTCTCAATATCTCTGCAATATCAGTTTTGTAAACATGTTGTTATTGGTAATTTACATGTTTACAAAACTGATTTGCTTGGCTCTATTAGTACTGACTTTACTGACTTTAAAGCTTAAATTTTTATCTTTTTAAATCTCAGATATTGTTAATTTTGTCACCTGTTTTCCATTCAACCTTAATTACTTACATTTATTCCATAATTTTTGTCTTGTCTAAGACCCAAGCTTGTGATCAGCTTGTGATGCTTCTTGTTCTTCTTAAGGTGATTTAAATCATGTTTTTATTTTACTATAGATTTTACATTGCACTTTTCCTACACCAGATTCACCCTATTATCATACACCCTATCATTGCATAACACCAGATCACACTTCTAACTGTAAGACTGGAACTGATGATCTTATCTTACAATACAATCCTTGAGCTTCCATCTCATCTCTCCATCTCTCTCACCTTCTTCCATCTTTCTGCCAAAAATTTACAATATTCATTTTCAGGCAGGCATGAAAGCTTTTATTTCTTCTCATCAGTTTCAATTTTCACAATCAAGTCTCACTTTACTGTTCTCTTTTTTGTGCAGCTGTTATTTTTAATTGTTATTTGATTTTATACAACTTTCTGGAGAACAAAAACTAACTTTTGAAGTATCATAAAAAATTTTTTTTAGTATCATAAAAAATTAATAAAGAAGGTTTTTTCTGGTACTAAATTCTTTTAGATATGTTTACTGGAAATGAAACTACCAAATAAATTTTGAAAATATTAATTAAAAAATTGACTGCATGCTATAGTTTTTAGTGTGCATTAGGTTTTTTTACTTACACAGAAAAATAATAAATAACAATAAAAATTATGTGGTGTAATTGAATTATTAAAAGAACCAAGCGCAGGAAAAAACAAAAATGCAAAATATAAATTGGGAATATTTCAAAACTATAAGTTTTATTACTTTTAATTTTTTGATAACAGAGATTTTAATAATCAAATAAAAGCACAACTATGTTAAACAACATCACTAATTTTATAAATAATTGTGTTAATCATGCACAATCATGTTAAACAATTCAACTAATTTTATAAATAGTTTCAATTATGCACAATTATATTATACAACGTAACTAATTTTATAAATAACATTATAAATACTAATATAATAAACTTTATTTTTATGTATGTATGTATGTATATATAGACATATGTATGTATGTATTTATGTATGTATGTATGCATGTATGTATGTATGTATGTATGTATGTATGTATGTATGTATGTATGTATGTATGTATGTATGTATGTATGTATGTATGTATGTATGTATGTATGTATGTATTAATGTATGTATGTATGTATGTATGTATGTATGTATGTATGTATGTATGTATGTATGTATGTATATATATATATATGTATATATATATATATATATATATATATATATATATATATATATATATATATATATATATATATATATATATATATATATATATAAAATATATTGTCTTACCTCCAAAACATTGTTTACCAGCAGGACATGGCCAACAATCAGACTTATTTCCATATCCTCCGTAATCAGGTTTAAATGTACCTTCAGGGCAGGGCTCTGGAAATATTGCTCCATAAGAACAAAAATAACCAGGAGGACATGGACCAGCTTTTGTGTTAGGCCCTGACAGAGGAACTTTAGGTGTTGGAGATGGACTTCCTGATTGACATAAGTACCCTGCTGCACATTTTTCCCTTACAGTCCCTTCAAAGTCAAAGAAATATATAAAAATTAAAAAAAATTTTTTTGGCAAACAAAATCTTTTATCTTTTATATTTTTTAAAATATTAAAAAAAAAAATTTACCCATTATGCAAAAGTGACCAGCAATACATGGACGACAATCTGTATCTCTTTCTAGACCAGTCTCATTATCATAACTATACGTACCATTTGGACATAATATAGGTACTTTAGTTTTTTCAGGACAATAGTAATGAGCATCACATTTTTGAAGTTTTGATGTAGCATTCACACAATAATAACCAGGTGGACACACATGACAAACAGACTTTTTTGATTCAAGTTGATAAGTGCCTGTAATATTTGAAAAGATTTACAAATGAGCACATATCAAACAAATTAGCAATTGTTGGTAAAGTTTTTATTTTTTTAAGTTTGGTTATTGCCTGCACTTAAGTGAGCAATTTAAATGCAATCTAAAATTTAACTAAAACTATTGGTTCAAAAAACAAACTTATGAAATTGATTAAAAGTTATGAAAATTGTTTGAATTACCTGTTTCACAATCTAGAGGGGCAGCTGACCCTTTTGGACAATAATATCCAGACTTACATTCATTACCACTGGGCTGAGCTTTTTGCTGACCTTCCGGACAATACCAGCCAGCATCACATTTTCCAGTTGGCTCACCAAGACCACTCTTTTCACAATACCAACCAGGTGTACATGAAAAACAATCATTTACATCAGTTCCACCTGTAGTATTTCTAAAATATCCTGCTGGGCAGTCCTCAGAAAAATGAGTTCCAGCTTTACAAAACTTTCCTATAGGACATGGTCCATTTTTAGGGAACTTTGAGTTACTTGCATCTGGAACAGAACTATCAGATCCTCCACCACATATAAAACCAGCACTACATTTTCCATCAGGTTTTGATTGACCACCCAAACAATATTCTCCTGCTGGACAATCAGTACAATCGTCTACTGAAAGCAAACCTAGTTTCCCACTATAGGTTCCAGCAGGGCATATCAAAGGTTTTCCACCAGGGCAATAATAGCCTGGCTGACAACTGATGGGTTTTGTCATATTGTAATCTAAACACATAGAACCTGCTATACAAGCAAGACAACTTCCTTGCTGTGGTAATGGCTGAAAAGTGCCAGGTGGACAGCTTAGTTCTTTATATGTACCTAAGTAAAAATATACAATGTAAACTATTTGTAAATTTAATTAAGTTGCTATTTAAAAATTAAGAACCATGAACAAACCTTCTGGACAATAAAATCCAGGTCGGCATGGATATCCTCTTAGATTATCACTACCAGTTGGAGTAGGAGAATCAGATCCTTGCACACAAACAAATCCTACTGAGCAATTAGGTGGGTTTATTAAGGCTTCTATTCCTGTACCATTGCAGTATTTACCAGCTGGACAAGGTTGACATTCATCAAGTTTCTTTAGTCCAACATCTCCAGAAAAATATCCACGAGGACAGGGCGTAGGAGTGGATGTACCATTTGGACAGAAATAACCTTTAGGACAAATATCATTATAAAAATTGAAATTCCAGTCAGTTGCTAGTATATGGTTTATTGGTTGAGCTTCTTGAGAACCAGTATAACAGTAGAACCCTTCTTTGCATTGACCAGTTGGAGTGGAGATGCCAGGAAAAGCACAATAGTTTCCTCCAATACATGCCAAACACTGTTCAATTCTTGCATTACCTTTGTTGGAACTGAAAGTTCCTTTTGGACACGGAAAATCATATTTGTATTTTGTGTTACGTGGACAAAAATGACCTGCTGGACACAACATAGGCGATGCGGCTGCATTATCTTCATGATTACAATAAAAACCTTCAGGACATGGTAAACAACTATCTTGGGCACTTTGATTTTGATACGTACCATTCAAACACGGTACTGGAGATTCAGATCCTTGGGGACAATAATGACCAGCCAAGCATTCATACCCAACAGGAGTAGGAGAAGACTGACCACCAGGACAGTAATATCTAAAATCACAACTTATAAAATATCTTTTTTGCTTGTATTGTTGACTTTATTTATAAATTTATCTTTTTATTTATGTTTATTTTTTTATTTTTTTTATTTATGTTTTTTTTTATAAATATACATTATTTATAAAAAAAATATTTAAAATTTGGTTATGCTTATGCAAAAAGCATAAAGAGGATCAAAATCAACTTATGCTTAATATTATAAAAAAGGTTTACAACAAATGTTGACGCTATGTGCTTGCTTGCTTAATATTATAAAAAAGGTTTACAACAAATGTTGACGCTATGTGCTTGCTATTTTTTCTTAATGTAGCTAAAACAAATGTTGACGCTATGTGCTTGCTATTTTTTTCTTAATGTAGCTAAAACAAATTTTGATGCTATGTGCTTGCTATTTTTTTCTTAATTAGCTAAAACAACTTTTATTAAAATAATCAAAAGATAACAAAAGCCAGCATTAAAAGAAATCTTACAAAGATTAATAAAATCAAAGATACTAAAGCTTGGAGCTTTCAGAGCTTGCAGAGGCTGGTGAATTTAAACCCAAACAAAACTCAGTTGCTTACTTCTGAAAATATTCACAATATTGGTGATACTCATATAATGATGAACTCTTTATTTTTTCTTAAATTGTTTTTATAACTCTCTCTTAATCATATTTATAAATAAATTAACATAATTAACATAATAAACATATTTATATATTTATCTATCTTAATAAGTCCAAAACAAAAGCTTTGACAAACAAGGAAACAAAGAAACAAGTTGAGGTCTTTTTTTATAGTATTTACTATTTTGTTACTCCTGATTGTCTATAAATTTTCGTATAGAATACTGTTTATTAGTACCATCTACTGAGTCTTAGTTCTATAGCTTTAGTACTACAAACTAAAGGCTCTTTAAACTCAGTGTCAAAAATAAACCATCGTTCTGCAATTTCATGGGCAACATTAGAGAAAATTTCTTGCATTGATAAATGATGTGGATTTTTTTTTTTATAGTATTTACTATTTTGTTACTCCTGATTCTCTATAAATTTTCGTATAGAATACTGTTCCAATGAGACTCTCTTTTAGATAAATTTTCGTATAGAATACTGTTCCAATGAGACTCTCTTTTAGATAAATTTTCGTATAGAATACTGTTCCAATGAGACTCTCTTTTAGATAAATTTTCGTATAGAATACTGTTCCAATGAGACTCTCTTTTAGATAAATTTTCGTATAGAATACTGTTCCAATGAGACTCTCTTTTAGATAAATTTTCGTATAGAATACTGTTCCAATGAGACTCTCTTTTAGATAAATTTTCGTATAGAATACTGTTCCAATGAGACTCTCTTTTAGATAAATTTTCGTATAGAATACTGTTCCAATGAGACTCTCTTTTAGATAAATTTTCGTATAGAATACTGTTCCAATGAGACTCTCTTTTAGATAATAATGTTTTTAATAATGTTGTTTAGAAATATTTTACATAGCACTTTTTTTATTAAACAGAAACATATATTTAGGTAATTAAATTTTTTTTGCATTTTTAGAATAATTAAAACATATACTAATATTTTTTTTTCATATAAACATATACTAATATTATTTAATTTAAACATATACTTTTATTTTTTTCATATTTTTTAAAAATATTGTTGCTTTGAAAATATATTGACCCTAAGAACATGAAAATTTCTATATCTATTTATTTAATAAATATCATTTCTATAGAGTACTAGTTTTTTATCTTAATTAGATATAACTTAATTATATATAATTAATAAATATAAATACTTTTTACATATACATAAAAACTATACATAAAAAACACTATACATAAAAAATGTCTATAAAACAAGGTTAATAAAAAGTTTAAATAACATTTTAGATTTCAAATCATAAGCTTAAATCAACTTTCTGAGGTTAGAAAAGTAGACAAATATATATATATATATATATATATATATATATATATATATATATATATATATATATATATATATATATATATATATATATATATATATATATATATATATATATATATATATATATATATATATATATATACAATCATGAGAAATCAGTTATTTATCATTAGAACCATTATTCTTACTATTTTTAAGCTCAACAATAATACTTTTAACTTGGGATTGTATCAATTAGTGACCTCATGGAGTCATAATGAAACTGGTTTTCAAAGTGAAAATGTAAGTAAAGTTTATAATAAAACCGTGTGAAGTTGTTGTTTTTCCGGACTGCTGTGGACCATTGATTTGAAAATAAAAGTCAGGAATGCAATGTGACTTTTAGTTTTTGAGTTTTAGAGTAAAATATATAAGTATGTTTAAAAACATCAAAAGACATACTTCAGAAAATAAGGAATAAAAAACAACTTCAAAATAAGTATTGACAGTTATTGATAATCATTAATTATAATAAAGTCCATCACTAGTTAAATATCACTGTCATGATTGATTATGAATGGGGTACAATGTAAAAGTCTTCCAATTTGATAAAAAATCTTCTAAAAATCAGATTTGATAAAAATTTGATAAAAAATCTTCCAAACCATCAGAGGTGATCAAGCACCTAACATCATCAAGCTACCACCTAAAAGCTAATCACCTATAATTTCTATCTTTGCTTATTATACTTAAAAGGCCTTTAAGTATTCTATGTATTCTTACCAGTGTCTAATCAAAATGCTTGTTTGCAGTATTTTTCAGCTTTTCATTAACGAAGCATATATCTAAAAAACTACCACTATCCAGTCATTTTTGAAATTAATTAACAGCATATCCTACATCAACTGACAGCCAGGTTAATGGCACTTGGCAGGTCATACCAAAGCGGTCTTTCTGCATTAGCCACAAGAATATAAATAGGGTCTTAAAGACATATTGTAATTCTTTCAGAAACCCTTTACAAATAACTTTAAATGTTCAATGTGTAATTGAATTATTATCAAAAGATGATAATTCAATTGCATTTAGTTAATTCAGATGATTCAATTGCAATTCAGTGATCACGATTGCAATTGACTTTTTTTGGCAATTTTTTGTGCTTATGCAATTTGTGATCTTGTTGTTGATCATTTATTTTTGAGTAGCAATCATAATAGTATTTGTAGAAATGAAAAAGAAGACGTTCAAGCTTGGCAGCTAAAGCAGATCTCACCACATTTACAATACATTTAAGGATCTGGTCTAGAAGAGAAAGAATCTTTAAAAGAACCAGCCTAATTATGACAATACTCCTTACAGAATCAAATAAGAGATATGCAGAGGCAGAGGCTGAAATCAGGAATATAATAGAAATAGGAAATAGCAAAAATAACAAAGAGAGATAACACTAGTAGGTGCTAACTTGGAAATTGATTGTATATATGATTTTCATGAGAGGTCAGTGGTGAATAATAATCTGAGATGTAAAGTACGTAGTTGAAACAGAAACAATTGTAGAGCATATGTTATTTAGATTTTTTTTTAGTAAGCAAATATTAAGTTATACAAAGAGCTTGAATTTTTCTGATTTTGTCCCAAACAGTTTACCTATAAATTAACAAATTGTATACTAATTAGTAAAAATAAAATATTATATAGAAAGTTTAGCAAATGTAACCCAACTACCCAAAATTTGCTCTACAGATGTTGAGTCTTTGCTATTTCAAAAGTTTCAATTCATATAGGAATATCAAAAATATCGTGATAATTGTTACAAACAATAAATGAGTTTTATTCAAGTTTGAATTCACAAGCAAATAGAAGCCCTAGTTAGTCACAAAAGTGAGATTGGATTTCCAATAAGCTATCTGTTCTTAGCAAACAATTTAACAGTATTATTAACATGACACTGTTAAACCAACTTTAATAAGTCATTAACTTTGGTAATAACACTGTTTTAGATTTTTTTTTCTCTTGTCTCTTGAGCCTAAATCTTATCTCAGATATCTTATTCTGAGATAAGATTTAGCATCAGATATCTTTGACTTCTTGCTATAATAAAAAGATGTTTATACTCAAGAGAGTTATTTTTGTAAAAAAGAAGTAAACAATGATTACAATTAGATATACCAGCTGCACAAGAAGGTGTAAACCATGGAGTAGAATGAAGATGTGCTTAACACAAACAATAAGGAATGAAAGTTTTTACATCTGTCTGAATCCAGCTTATAAGGTTACTTATAAGACACATTTATCAGCAGAAAAATAAAACGTCAGCCTAAAGAAAAAAAAAATCATGAGAAGAGTTTCAATCCTTTAAGAAGATAATTATAAAAGAAAGTATTCTTATACATTATAATAATAATGTATAAGAATACTTTAATTTTATTTTTCAAAGGTGTGGCAGCAGATTTAAACATCATTGGGAGATCAAATAATTTTTTGGAGGGTTTAAATTGTAGTAAGTTACTAGTAGTAGTTGCAATGGATTCCGAAGAAGTAAGATAAAAATTTTATAGAGGAAATTTTATGGTTGAAAGGAAAACAAAGAGAAACACAAGATCAGAGGCAAAACACAATTCAGAGTGAAATCATAAGTAATTAATCAAGAAAATGAATCACACCTGAGTAAGATAATAAGAAATACATAAGTTATAAAATGCATTAACAGGGACACTATCCATGAACAACATACTATTGTTAATACTCTAATATTTTAGAGCTGATCGAATCAATAGCTTTAAGAGCTAAATAGTTTAGAAAATTTAACTTTTTCTCAGAACCATTAAACTTAGTTTTCGAGTTTATTAAACCTTAATTAAAAGATAACAGAAAGAGTTGCATAACCACTGCTAAGTTAGCACAAGCAAAAACCATGAGTTAAGTAATTAAGAACCATTGAGAAGAGAATCAGCATTCATCATTTTATGCAGTAAACAATGTAACACAAGTTTAAATCTATGCTAGGCTTATAGACGAAAAAGGGATGTGAGGCTAATTAACAAAATTTTTCTGCTTACCCCTTATCAATAATTGTCAATACTTTTTTTTTAAAGTCTTTTTTTAAAGTCTTTGCCTAGGAGATCACCATTAAGACAGTAGCCGAATGTAGTTTACATCTGCCCAAGATGAGTATTTTTATCAAGACATTTTCACAGCTAAGACTTTAAGGTATGGGGTATTTGAGGTCACAATTAACTTCTCCTAGCCTTTGCCAAGAAAAGTGAATCCTATAAAGCAGCAGAGCATGGGGCAAAGGCTTATTATATGCTTCTCTTTTAAAAATAACTATATATACATGTGCTTTTAAAAAAAACATGTATTAAAAGTTAATTAAATTTTGTCACAAGTAATAATAATAGGAATGTAGGTTTAATGTTATATGTAAAAATAACTGAGTATAGTTCATTATTGTTCTTATTACCTTTCCCAAGGATAAGGCTAAACTATTTGCAATAAAATTTTTTCTCATTCAACTCTTGAACTTTATGGCCACACTCCTCCTTCCACCATTCCAGTTAAGCAGGTTCACCCACTGTTAGACATTCAAATTGCTCCAGTTTTTGTTGCCAAAGTCATAACTTAATTAAACTCTTCTACAGCTTGTGTTCCAGACAACATTCCTTTCATAGTCTTACAAAATTGTTCTCCAGAACTCTCTCCAACCTAGTGTTTTACTAAATTTTGTTTACCAGCCTGCTGGAAAATGGCATCTGTGGTTCCAATTTTTAAAAATTCTTAAGAATATTCCCCTACAACAATCGTCCAATCAGATTTCTATATGTATCGTCCAATTAGATTTCTATATGTTATAAGCAAGGTCTTTGTGTCTTTGACTAACGAATTTCTAACATCTTGAGTCAAATAATTTGCTGTTAGGCAATACAGTTTTCAATCTTCCTGCTTTAGGGCTGACTTGCAAATAAAAAGATTTTATTGTGCACTAGACAGAGGCAGCAACTTAATAGTGGTTGCTTGCAGCCTTGTTGGGAGTAAATTAGATTTGAAAAAAAAGGCACTTAATAAAATTTCTTTGTTTATATATTAAATGTCTTATTTTCTATTAAATATTAATAAAAAATATTTTATATTAAAATATTCTGAAAAATTAAAATTGAGATCTTTGCAATAGATATTTAAGATATTTAATAAATAAATATATTTATTTATTTTTTATTACGTTTTTTTTTTTTTTTTAATATAACATATAGATAATAGATAATATATCGATAATATAGAGGTAAATAGATAAATCAAAAAATAATAGATAATAGATTATACATAGATTACATATAGATACTTAATAGATAATATGTAGATATGTAATAGATATACAGATAATAATAACTGATATTAATAAAGAGGTTGTTAACAATAAATTTAAAAAACAATAACTCTTAGTTACCCACCTTGGTGCGCATTGACCTGCAGGCTTATCATGTCTCGAATTATCACAATAAAAGCCAGGTGTGCATCTCTGACAATCACTACTTTTTTTGTTTTGGGTATTGTTTGAATAACTTCCTGCTTCACAAGGGATAGGCCATTTTGTACCAGTTTCACAATAATGACCAACAGGGCATTCAAATTGATGGGAAGAAACTGAACCTTCAATGCAGTAAAATCCAGCAGAGCAATTGTTAGTGGGATATGCAAGTCCTTCGCTTTCACAGTACATTCCTCTAGTACATATAATAGGGATTGAAGTACCAATAGGACAAAAATAACCAGCTGGGCATATATTACCTATGAAGTACAAATAATATTATAATTATTTTATGAAATTAAGCTTGTAATATAGCCTGTACTTATAAAAACTGTCAAGATTTTAAAGAAATCACCCAAAATTTAAAGCAGCTACTCACAAAGTTGCAATCTATACTTTTACTGAATGTAACAGTTATTCACAAAGTTGTAATGTATAGTTTTAAATGTAATAAAAAAAAAGCCTACTGGATTAAAATCACATATGATTCAAATTTGAATTTTTTTACTTAAACTATCACAAACAAAAAGTTAAATTATTTTTATTTTTATTCTAATTCACTCCCAACAGGGCTGCAAACAATCACTATTATGCTGGAAGTTACGAGAAAAAGAGAATAAAGTTATTGAACAAGGAAACGGTTGACAGAAGACTTAAAAAGTTGAAGGTTGAGTCAGGAAAACATGGAGGGAGAAAGTTCCAAAGGGTTGAGGTTTGGGTAAAAAAGCTAGATGCATGAAAGTTTTAGGAGCATGCAGGAATAGATAAAATAAAAGAATGAGACTTTGATGAATGAGGAGTCAAGCATGAATGAGTTTTGGTTGATGTTTAGTTTTTTTTGGTTGATCTTTACTTCTAAAAAAGAGGTGGTATTATAAATAAAATTAATAACTCCATTCGTACTAACAATAAAACATATTTATATTTTTGTTGTTAAGAATTGTATAAAAAAAACAACAATATGGAAAGGTTATTTCACATAAAAATAAACTTTTTATATAAACAAAAAAGTCACGAAAATATATACCTTTCGAAAGATTTATATCTGGACAAACACATGATTGTGACTCAAAACATGAAGAACTTTTATTAATACTGGTGCCTAAATCTCCAGGATTGGCTGACATTGCTCCACCTTTGCAAAAGTAACCACCTGAACACCAACCATTAGGAACAATACGACCATAACCTTGACAATACTGCCCTGGTGGGCAAAGCAAGCAAGCATTAATGCTTGTTGATCCTGTATTGTTATTAAAAGTACCAGGAGGGCATTTATATTGTGTACTATACTGAGTACCAATCATGCAATAATGACCCATAGGACAATCATATGGAGTTATAGTACTTCCATTGCAATATTTTCCTACATAAAGAGAAAAATTACCAAACTTATTTTCAACACACAACTTTATTTTCAACACACAACAAAAATCAAATTTATTTTCAACATTCAAATTTATTTTCAACAAACAACAAAAACCATTAGGAAAAAACTATAATAAATAAAAGCATCAGAGAAAATTACATACCATCAGGACATATTTCACAAGATATTGTTCTAAGCATATTTCCAAATGTTCCAGAAGGACAAGGTGAAGGGAATGAAGTATTTCCTTTGCATTCATGTCCAAGAAAACACTCTCCCCCAATTCCAGTATGATTACCATATTTTGGATTTTTTTTATTAACACCACTTTGACACCAATAGCCTGGATCACAAAAACCAGTAGGTCTTGGTAACCCAATTCCTTCACAATATGAGCCTGCAGTACAGGGTGTACACTGAGCTATGCTAATAAGACCTTTTTGAGATCCATAAGTTCCTTCAGGACAGGGCATCTTGTTATAACCAGTACCTTTCAAACAATAATATCCTTGTTCACAGAGGTCTGGAGCAACTTGACCAGTACACATATAACCTTCAGGACAAACTTCACATAATGCTGAGGCTAAAAAAAAACGTAATATCCATGATAATCCACTATGAATTTTACAAAATTTCTTTATATATTTTACTATATTATAATACATTCATATCTTCAACGTTATAACACTAAATTGTATTATACTGTATTTTCAAAATTCAAACACTTTTACCAAAAAATTATGAAAATTATCTCAGATAATATAAAAGAAATTATTATTATTTAATACTTTTACATTATGATTCACTCCCAATAAGACTGCAAGCAACCACTACTAAGTTAGGAGTTAATAGAAAAAAAAAAGAATAGAGTTATAGAGCAAGGAAACATTTTACAGATAATTTCAAAAGTTGTTGGTTGTGTGAGTCAGGAAAACATGAAGATGGGAGAGAGTTCCATAGGGTAAAGTGCTGGGAAATAAACCTTATTGTAGATAATGTAGATGTTTTCATTTTAAATTAAACATCGAGTACTAGTTTTTATTTTTATTTTTTTGATTTTTACAATATTGATTATCAAAAAAAAAATTGAAAATTTTTTATTTATGCGTGATAAATAAATGTTTAAAGCTTAACTGACCAAACTTAGGCGATTTTACAGTACCTAAAAAATTATTTGTTTTTATTATTATTATTATTAATTACATATATAACTTGCAACTTTTTTTCTTGAAAATTGCAACTTTATTTCTTCCCTACCGTCATTTATTTAACATATTGTCTGTAATCTATCACTTTGTATTGAGTTTTTATAAACCAGACAAACAAGCACATAAACAAAACATTAATAAAAATAAATATTTTTATTTTCAAATAGATTTTTCAGGTTATATATTTCCAGTTTTTCCTACATGATTAAATAATTAATATACATGATTAAATTACAACTAGCCTTTACTATTTTAAGTTGTCAAAGTGAACATATCTTAAATGGACAAACAACCAAGAAGTTAGACTTTTAAAACTTTGTAAATTTTATTTCTTTATTTCTTGAAAATTATCTTAGTTATCCTATAAACAAATTGCTAACAAACAAACTGTAGGAAATGTGTTTAGATACCTATTCTTAAACACTGAAAAAAACTACAGATTCAAGTTGCCGCCAAAGATTCACATTATGTGTGAAAAAAACATCTTGGATTTGAACTTTGGATTTGGAGGACTTTGTGTTAATCATTTTGTTATCGATTGTGTTGTTGCCGAAGTTATTTCTGTATGGATAAAAGCAGGCTTTAGAGATTGTTTTCAGAAGGGAGCTCAAATAAGGTAATTAATAACCTTTAATATAATGAATATTTTTTCAGCTTGTACTTATTTTTTGTTAACTTAATTGTAATTGTTATCAATAAAATAATTTTTTTTATTATTATTTACTAAAAAAAATCTTACCAAGAGCTCCATAGATGTAAAAAACTGTAGATCATTATCAGTAATTTTTTATTTATAAACAATTTATGAAATATTTAATGAATATAACAAATAATTCAAACAATTTATGAAATATATAATGAATAAACAAATAATTCAAACAATTTGATAAAAATGAGCAAAAAAGATTTTTTGAGATTTGAGAATTTTGTGAGATTTGATTAAAACTAAATTTTAATAATTAATTTGATTAAAACTAAATTTTAATATTTGACTAAAAGATTAGTGAGAATTTTGTGAGATTTGAGTGACAGATTTGTTTTAGATCAAGACAAAAAAAAAAATCACTTAAGTTTAAAGATAACACCATTTTAGTAGAAGAATTTTCTAGTAGTTTTTAAAAGTATTAGTTGAGAAATTATAGGTAAAAAAATTTTTTAGTTGATGCTGATAAGTAAAAAAATTCATTGAAGAATTAAAGTCCGAATTAAAGAAATTTCGAACAGAAAATAAGAATAATGATCTAGAAATATATATATATATATATATATATATATATATATATATATATATATATATATATATATATATATATATATATATATATAATAAGCCAGCAAATAAAGCCAGTTTAGGTGTAAGATTGTCAGGAAGATCATTAACATAGATAAGAAAAAAGTTACTGAATGAAGGAATATTGGCCTTCAAGAATACTTTTATCCTGGGCACAGTGAATTGTCTACAACAAACTAGGTGTACAAAAAAAATGTTGTCCTGCAATTTGATTGTTAAAAATGTAATTCATAATATTATGGTGTTTTAATGATTAGTTAAGCATTTTTTTTATTACTTTCAAGCTTTAAGAAATTTTAGTAATAAAAAGTTAATTACATATTTAAATTAAGTACTTAATTTCAACTCTTTGTAAATTATGTAATAAAAAATTTTGAGTAAATTAAAAAATTACATATTATACTAACTACAATATAACTGATACTGTAAAATAAACAAATTCCAATCATGTTGGATGAATCATTGTTACATTCACATCTGAAAAAATTGTACTCTAATGGCACAAAGTTATGTGCGATAATCTTTGTTATTGCACATAATTTTATTTTAAACCTGATGTTATGGTATTACAGGAAAGGTAATTAAATTCAAAACTTCTAACAGTAATTTCCGGTTTTCTTACTTGACAGTTATCTGTGTGAGTTGGTGACAGGATTTGAAGTTACCATAAGTAAATTGAGCAAACCCATATTTTTAAAAATACATCTGTTTTTTCTGGTATGATTATTGCAGAGTCAACAAAAATCATTATTGCTAGCTTCTTGAGACTCTTCTAATAGATGCCTGATTGGAAGAATGAATGTTTTTATAACTTCTGTAAAAGTAGCTTGTCCACAGTAACAGGCATATAATAACAATAACAATATCATAGCATAAGGAGAGTGTTCTTAATAAAATACTGAAATTTTAAATGAGACTGAGATCTAACATCGTAATTTCACCACTTAACTCAGGCTTCATAAAAAATATTCAGGCTGTGTCCCTGACATTTATATTCTCAAAGCCAGGTTTTGGTTTATCTACAATAAGTCCCATATGATTTTTAAATTATTGCTTGATAAAAATAAACTTAATTGGTCAGCAATAAAGTGTAGATGAAGGCCAGGGATTTTTCCAAATAATATTTTAGCTGCCATTTTTATTTACTTATTTATTTTAGGTATCCCAAGATGTCTTTACGGTTTTATCACAGAGCACTGCAGAAGAGTATTTGAAAGGAAGTTTATGCCTGCTTCCTAACCAATGTTAAAAAATGATTTATAACTTTTTATAACTTGAAAATTTAAATAGCTTGATTTCTGTACTCTGATAAACAACATTTTATTGTGATCAGCACCTGTGATCAACTAAGTGGCACTTTGATTAGGGATAAATCAGACATCATTTGAAACCAAAAAAAAAAAATAAAAACACTTAGTAAAATCGCAATCCACAAAAATTTGTGGACTGATATGGTAATTTATCACTATATCAATCCACAAATTTTTGATCTGTATTTATTTATTTCTTAGCTTTATTTATTTCTAAGCTGTATTTTAGCTGTATTTATTTATTTAATATTAATAATTTATTTTTAGCTTTATTAATCTATTTCTTAGCTGTACAATGATATACATTATTATCCCATACATTATTAATATAAACATTATTAATATAAGCTAAGAACATTGATTTACACTATTAAAAAAATAGCTTGGATACATGTGGATACAAAAAGAAGTAAATGTTGAAAAAAAAATTCTCGAAATGACTTAAGTCCACCTAGCTTGTATAGAGTGATACACTGTGCTGTGGTAAGAAATTTAATCTCAAATATTTTCCCATATACACTATATATGCATATAGAAGACCAGAACTATATATTGAAGACCAGAACTATTGCTGAGAAACGATATATTGTTCACAAGTTTGATAATTTACTCAATAATGCAGGCTACTTACAATAAACTATACATAATACATGGTACAAAATATAATACAGCAATACAACTAAAATAAAACTAATAGAGGATTAATTAAACAGATTACAAAAGTGTTCTGTAATTTCTATATTGAAAATCTGTTAATTGTAAAACATTTATGCAAACAATTGTAAAACAATTCTGATCATACTAAAAATCATTGAAATTTTGTTGATCACTGCAAAAAGCAGATACAGCTGTTTAGTGTTTCATATATTAGTTCAACAAATCTTAAGTCTGCATTAGATTGGACAATTGTCTGAGGGAGGCAAGACTTCTTAACTATGGTAAAAGCTATATATTAAAGTAAGAAAACTTTGATGTTTGATGAAAAACTGTGAGCAAGGGTAGGAAGATAAATCTTGGAAGGTAATTCTTCATGTATAAAATAAAAACACTCAGTACAAAATAACCTAACACTGAAAAATACATGTAAAAGTTATGTAAATATTAAAATAAGAAAATGGCATTATGAAAACCTGTCCAAACGTGATATGTGTGGAACAAAATGCTTAAAAAAAAAAAGAGTAAGTAATCAGAAGGCTACATCCTAACAGTAATAGCACAGGCTTTTGATGGTGAAGATACATTTAAGCTTCCACAGTCAGTAGCATTTGTAATGCAGAATATCTTCTTTCACTCACATCTGCCAGACCGATGAAAAGTAGAAAAAAAAGAAAGAAGGAAAACTTCATACTAAACCAAAATGCTTTTCACGTGAAAAGAAATCACATTTGCACAGGAAACTCAATTATGGCAATCAATCAAACAGATGAAGTTTTCGGAAAAATTGTTTGACACAACAGCGCCAAAGATGTTGCTTGAATGAAGCCCGTGCACTGTTTCAAAGACAATAATTGACTATGAAACTAGTCCAAATATTTTACTGTTTTGCAGATTCAAACAATTGTAACCTCAAATTGATCATGTGTATACACATCATGAAATGACATCTGTCTTAGTGCAAAACTCAGGTTTTTAAATATAGAAACAATTAGTTTTTACAAAACATTCTGAATAGAGAGGCAAAACATCTCCTGAGAGAAAGCTATAAAAATTACACTCACTATAACCATCATGTCTACTTTTCACAAAATGCAAAAAGCAGAAACAGTTTTTGTTTATGTTTGTAGTTGTGACAAGAAAATAAATATGTAGCAATGTAAAATTTGACAAATAAAAGGACAGTTATAAATCTCCTTTATTAACTTTATATGCTGTTTGGCGCATTTCTCATTTATAAACAATGTCAACAAAAATGTCTTTAATGTTGACTTTTTTGAGGCATTTTAAAGGTATTTTTTCATAAACTAAATGTTAATTTAACAAGGTTAACTTTTTTATTAATGTCAGGTTTTTACCACCCTATATGCACATTTTCTCTAAGTTTTAAATCTGATTTGCTTAATTCAAAATCCAAAATTGAAAAACTCTCGTCATTATAGCAAGTGAATCTTTTGGGTGAAGATCCTTTTAAATACAAGTTTTCAACCCTCTTGTAAACATAGTTGGACCTGCTCTTGCAGCCAATCCATTGTTACATCATCGTGATGTTGCTTCTCTTTCTCTTTTTTACAAATACTATAATGGGCACTGCTCTAAAGAGTACATCAGTTCTTTGGAATTTGCTTCCTTCATCTTGCTTTCCTGATTCATATAATTTGCAATCTTTTAAGTCGTCTATCAATCATTATCTTGCTCTACAATCTTCATCTTTTCTTATCCAGTAACTTCTAACACTAATTAGTGGTTGCTTGCAGCCTTGTTGCAAGCGAAGATGTTTAAAAATAATAATAATAATAATTTTTGAAAACTACCTGTAAAATTAGTAAAAGTTCCATTTTTACATGGCGAGTACCATTTTGAGCCTTCTTCACAAAATGAACCTGCTGGACAGATGTTACCAGTAAAACCGTCATTAGGGTTGGGTTTAGTTGCACCACCAATGCAATAAAAACCAGCGTTACACTTTCCAGACATATTGTATAGAGCAGTAGTACCACAATAATAACCAGGATCACAATCTATACAAAGTTATGAAATGCATTCAAAAAGTTAAAAACTTAAAAAACTTAACTGTAAAAAATTTTTTTTACCTTTACAATCATCACGATTCTTTCTGCCATCGACTGGCTGATAAGTTCCATTAGGGCATGCTATTGGAATTCCTTCAGGACAGAAATAACCTTTAGGGCATAAAACTCCATATGTTTGATTATTAGGGCTGGATTCAATTGAACGCTCAATACACCAATGACCTGCACTGCATTTTTTATATGCATTTGGTAATCCAGGTGTGGGGCAATACCAGCCTTCAGGACAGGGTGTGCAATTTGACTCATTATTTAATCCTACTGAACTGCCAAATGTTCCTAACATTCAAATTACAGCAACAACATTTATAGCTTAAACAGGTTTTTAAACAATTTATTGGCAAAATTTTAAAAAGATAATAATACCTGCAGGACAATCTACACCTTGGCTTGAACCAGCTATACAATACTTGCCCATGGGACACAAATTACCCATAATACCATCAATTGGCTGAGAGGTATTTGATCCCAAAAAACACACAAAGCCTGTATATATTATGTATATATTATGTATATATTATGTATATATTATGTATGTATATATATATATATATATATATATATATATATATATATATATATATATATATATATATATATATATATATATATATATATATATATATATACACACACACACACACACAAATAGTTTTGAATGTATTCTGCAAAAAAAGTGCTCAATATTGAAAAAAATACAGTGCTCAATAAAAGAACAGAGCAATAATAAATTAGTAGAAAATCAACTATCAAAATTTTGTTTAAGACAGTGTTTCATCAGTAAAAACCTATCAGAAATGCTCAAATCAATAAACTTCATATAAGAAGTCATAAATGACTTAATAACTGTAATACTTCAAGCTTTAGCAAAATTTCACATATTTTTGTGGAAAATGTTGACATTATTATAAAAAGAATTCTTTTAGAAGCCTAAGGTATTGCTAAGAAATGAACCTTGAAAATAGAATAAAATCAGCTGCCCATACTAAAGTCTTTGTAACACTAAAAGATTTGGGACGACTGAATAAGTGCGAATTTCATAAGTGCGAACTGGCATAAGTGCGAATGGCATAAGTGCACACTGCATGCTGGCATAAGTGCAAATTGGCATAAGTGCGAACTGGCAAAATGTGAAACAGTTACAAAAACTGGTACAAGTGTGAACTGGCATAAGTGCGAACTGGCATAAGTGCAAACTGGCATAAGTACAAAGCAGTTTCAAAAACTGTCACAAGTGTGAATTAGCATAAGTGCGCTGAACAAATTTGCAAACATTGGCATAAGTGCGAATTGGCATAAGTGTGAACTGGTATAAGTGCGAAGCAGTTACCAAAACTGGCACAAGTGCGAACTGGCATAAGTGCAAATTGGCATAAGAGCGTCAAATAAATTTACAAACATTGGTATAAGTGCAAATTGCCACAAGTGCGAATTGGCATAAGAGCGAAGCAGATACAAAAACTGGTACAAGTGCAAATTGGCAAAAACGCGAATTGGCTTAAGTACGCCAAATAAATTTGCAAACATTAGTATAAGTGCAAACTGGCATTAAAGCGAATTGGCATAAGTGCGAAATACTAACTTGCACTTAAGCTAATATTTGAAATTTTATTTGGCGCACTTATGCCAATTCGCACTTATGCCAGTTTTTGTAACTGCTTCGCACTTATACCAGTTCACACTTATGCCAATTCACACTTATGCCAATGTTTGTAAAATCTTTTGGCACACTTATGCCAATTCGCACATATACCAGTTCGCACTTATGCCAGTTTTTGCAACGCTTCGCACATATGCCAGTGCGCACATATGCCAATTCACGCTTATGCAGCCTCCTCAAAGATTCTAAACCAATTTTTAAAAAAAACATCCTTTTAAATTATTAGTTTCGTCAAAGTCAGATTTGACATATAACCAAAATTAAATTGAACTAAATTATCAAAATTATTAAATAATTGAAAAATACAACTGACAATTATGTTTGTTCTCCATAAAATAAAGGGACATTTATTCAATTTGACATAAATAATTTTTACCTCTCAATAATGGCAGGTTTTAAAAAAATCACACAGTTATTCCAGAGAAAACAATTCTTATAAATTTAAAAATTGTGAATATTCTTGATGTCACATTTTATCTCTCTGAAAATTCATATAGGCCTTTATAAAAAACCAAATGATGAGATATTGTATATTAATATTAACTTGAAACACCAACGACAAAGGATAAATCCATAAATCATCTATAAAGAATCATCAGATTTTCTGATAAGTCTTTATAGATAAAATACAGAGTAAAATAAAAATAATTTGTGATTTTCTACTAATTTATATATATATATATATATATATATATATATATATATATATATATATATATATATATATATATATATATATATACACATATATATATATATATATATATATATATATATTTATAAATTAAAAAAGAGAATAAATAATACCTGCATCACATTTTTGTGTAACAAAAATATTTCCTTGACCACTACAATAATAACCTGGGTCACACTTCTTACAATCATTCAATTGTGAATTACCAGTTGTATTACTATAAGTACCACTAGGGCATGGATTTTGATTTATTTTTAAAGTGCCTTTTGGACAAAAATGACCTGGAATACAAGGCTCAGGTATTACTACACCATGAACTTTTTGTGAAATGGGATCACATGAGTATCCTTCTGGGCACTCAATACATTCTTTTTGACCAGTTCTATTTTGGTAAAATCCTAAATTTGTTCAGTAATATTAAAATATTTTTGATTTACATTTATTTTACAATAAACATTAATAATTGCATTTCTGAATACATATACATTCATAAATATATTTAAATCTATGAACAAATATGCATACATACATACATACATACATACATACATACATACATACATACATACATACATACATACATACATACATTTATACATACATACATACATACATACATACATACATACATACATACATACATACATACATACATACATACATACATACATACATACATACATACATATATACAAACATACATAAATGTTTAAATACATAAATATATACATGCAAACATAATATTCATAATTACATTCATACATAAATGTATACACACCTGAGGGGCATGGAGTAGGTTTTCCAGCACCTTCCGGACAAAACGAACCCACCTCACATTCATAAGAATCTTTTCTTGTAGACCCCAAAGGGCAATAAAAACCAGGTGCGCATTTCAAGGTTGCATTCCATAATCCCTTCTCAGGACAATAAAAACCTGGAGTACAGTTTTGACAATGATCTTGTTTAAACTGCCTTGTATATTGGTTAAAAGTACCAGCTGGGCATTCAATTTCAACAGGAGATCCTTGGGGGCAATATCTACCTTTGCGACATTCTGCTGATTCAGATGAAGTAGATTTGAAATCACAAAAGTAGCCTTCCCTACAATATCCTGATACTTTACCTAACTTTTCCTTAGCACAATACATTCCAGGATCACATAATATTGGATAATCAGAACCAGCAGGGCAATAAGTACCTAATGGACATATCCCACCAGTAAAATTTAAAGAATAAATGGGACATCTAAACAGATCTGAAATATTTAATGTTATATTTGAATACCATGTTGGAGTTGGTGTATATGCTCCACGAATACAGTAATACCCCTCCTCACATTTACCAGTTGGTTGTATATTTTTAGGTCCAAGGCAATATTGTCCACTACTACATGGCATACAATCATCAATTTTTGAACTTTTTGTGTTATTATTAAAAGATCCAGGAGGACAAGCTTGAGGCTGAAATGTTCCTGATGGGCAAAAATGTCCTGCTGGACAAATATCACCGTAAGGTTTACTTAATGGAGCTGACTCTATAGCACCTCCAGTGCAGAAATATCCTTCTGCACATTCACCAGATGGGCTTGATAATCCAATTTCATTACAAAACTTGCCTAAATCACAACTAACGCACTCCTCTTTGCTTTTTAATTGCGTTCTATTACCATATGTCCCTTTAGGACATGGTTTTTCTTGCTCTCCTGGTTCACAATAAAAACCTTGCCTACATGGCCCACCCCCTTCAGATATGTTTCTTGGTTCAGGTGTTATTGCTCCAAGAGTGCAGTAAAATCCTGAATGACATATACCTGTTGGACTATCTTGTGCTTCTTTATCACAAAAAAACCCAGAAGTACATGCATGACATTGACTGGCTGTAAATAAACCAGATTCATTTCCAAAAAAGCCAATTTGGCATGGATAATTGTTATAAAACCCGGTTTTCTTTGGACAAAAAAATCTTTTAGGACAAACATTTGGCTTTACAGCTCCTCTGGTATTATTTATTTTACTGAGATCTTCAGGAAGACAATAAAAACCTGAAGGACATTCTTCGCAAATTTCGCTTCCATTATTTGATTGATAGTAACCAGGATGACATGGAATTGGTTTTTTGCTCTGTTCTGGACAGAAATATCCAGGTTCACAAATTTTTTCTGTTGATGTAACTGATCCTGATGGACAGTAATAACCTTTTGAACAATTTCCACTAGGTTTGTCTAGCCCCATTTTGTCACAATACATTCCAGCAGAACCTAAAAAAAAACCCCTTAGAATTTTCACACTACTAAACTTAAAAAATATAAATAAAACTAAAATAATTTTCAATTAACTAACAATTTTTTTGGTGTAAAAAACAAAAAAAAGGGACTTAAAAATTCCTTGTGTTACATATCACTTCCTTAATTAAGCATGCCAACATGTTCTTAAAAGTTATTAAAACAAACATTTTATCAACTTTTTTTTGAATTTCATTTTAGTATATTTTTATATTGTTGTTTTATTAAAACTTATTAAAACATTTAACTTCTTTTTATTACAAATTGTGTTTTTTATTTTTATTTTTTGAGAGTGAAAATGTTAACAAATATGAAAATTGATAAAAAAAAATTAACTGGAAGCAGACAAATCGAGACAAGAGTGAGAAATTATTTAAAAAAACTTTTGTAGTTAAGCTTTAAATCAATGAGATTTAAAATTGTGTTTACGTTATGTAACTCCTTATGTATATTTTCAAAGTAATAAATACAACTTTTCTTTTTTAAACAAAAGAACTTTGATAAGTAAGATTTCTTTAAATTTTATTTCTTTTCTAAAAAGTTTCATATAAAATTAAAAAACATAAAATTAAAAATTAAACAAACTAAAAAACATTTTTTGAATCAGGCTTTTTTTTCAAGAAAAAAGTGCATTTGATCCACATGTTACTATTGTATACAAAAGTTGTAATGAATTGCTTACAAATAATGCAATCAGATACATTTTTATTTCCATAACCAGGTGCAAAAAAACCTTTATCACACATTAAAGGTGCTGCACTTTTTGCTTCACAAAAATATCCAGGTGGACATATATCTCCATACACTTTTTGGAAAGGACGCGCTTCAGTTGAGCCTCCTGAGCAGTAGTAGCCAGACGAACAAATGTTTGACATAATGGATAAGCCATCTTGATCACAGTAGTACCCAGGATCACAAGAAATAGGTTTACTTGAGCCAATAGGACAATAAGTTCCTTTTTTACATAAACCTCCTAAATTATAAAATTTTATTTTAGTAAAATGCAAAAAATAATATATCTATTCTTTTTATTAAGATATATGTATATATAAACATAAATGTGTATGTGTGTGTGTGTGTGTGTGTGTGTGTGTGTGTGTGTGTATGTGTGTGTATAACAGGGCAACATCAGATGGAAAGATATTTGTAACTGGGTCTAGACTTTTCTATCAATTTTCAGTCAGTGTGTTTTTGCTGGAAACCTACAGAGTTTATCATTTTTATCAGTAACCAATTAAAGATGGGTAGAAAGAAAGAATGGGTACAAAGAATGACTTGAGTCCAAGGAAGAAAGGTCAAATAGCGGCTTTGCTTGAAAACAAACTTCTGGACTGAAGCATAAGGAAACTGCTTAAAAACTGAATTTTTCTGCACTGCAAGTTTGATGAAGAAAAAATCTTCAGGCATTAAAACAGACTCTTCAAGAGTTGGATAGCTGAAACCTGACTGCTTGAAAAAGACTTCCAAAAAAGATCATGGTCTGAGGAGTCATTTCTGTGTACAGCACAAGTAGACTAGACATATTTATGCTATAAAATGCTAGGAAGTTGTCTAGTTTCTTAAGCCAGGGAGTGGTGATAGAGAATGGGTTTTTCAACAGTACCCCATGCCACACTAGAAAAAAACTGAAGTGGTGCTTTGCGATAAATTCTATACAAGTACTTAAATGGCCTGAAAACTCTCCAGGCATGAATCCAATTAAGAATTTATGGAAACAAGTGAAAGATAAGATCCACACTGTGCCCATTACAACAAAAATCAAACTGATTTAATGGATGGTTAAGGTGTAGTTCCATAGTAAAAAAATTGAAGAACTTTCTCAAAGTTTGAATTTATCTATGCCAAACCATGTTAGCCCCCTAAAATTGGCTAAAGGTGGCCAAAAAAAAACTAAAGATTAGAAAAAAAAATTATAATTTGATTAATTTATTTGAAGTTTGATGAGAAATAAAACTTTTTAAAGTTTTATAAAAAATTCTTTTTTTTTGCTTTGTATAAAGACTATCCATGTAATGTATGTAAATGTGTATATATATATATATATATATATATATATATATATATATATATATATATATATATATATACATATATACATTACTTTATATATTAGCATCGCTTAGAGCGCCAACCTGAAAAACAGTTCATGCTTCAGCTCGCACTTTATAAGCATATAGTGTTTTTTTCATTACTTTTTATTCCATTTCTTTTATACTTAACGCAAAAGTTATGAATTTCCTTTTAGGGTCTGAGTTTATGATTTCTATTGCATGGGCAATGCCTAAAGTCTATATATATATTTTTTATTATACACTTCACTATGGTGTCTTTAATTTTTTCTAAACATCTGTTCAATATGCCTTTTTAATTTTTTTTTTCCCTTCCTCTATTCCTAATTTGGGCTTGACAGTTCAGCATAGGATTTCTCAAATGGGATCCCAGGGGTGAAAGTGACACCAGGATATCCCAGGATTTGTCTGATATTTCCCAGTATATATATTTCATTTTAAATAACACAAAGTTTTTTAACAAGTTTTTTTTTTTAATTTAAAAAATTATTGTTATTATAAAAGTAAAAAAACATTTCTTGATTTTAAACAACAAAAATTGTATGTTTTGTTTGATTTTTATAATTTCAAATAATTGTGAAGTGAAACATTTTGCTATATTGCATTATTGAAAAATAGCTGTAAGTATTTAAATAACTGTAACCAAGGTATTAAAATAACTGTAACCAAGGGTGTATAATCTTATACTATTTTAGAATTTGTTTTGTATTTTTTTTTTATATAACTATGTATTTATTTGTTGGTATTATAGCAAAAGAAATACCTAGCAACTCACAATTTTCTTTATCATTAGACAAATATATTTTTTAAGAAATCAATGATATCTAAATTTACATTTATCAATTATCAAACTAACATTTATCAACAATGTTTTGGAACCTAGGGATGACTCCAATAACTGGATCCCTTTCTGTAGATTTATTATAAAAGAAACTGTCAGATTTCAATTTATTAATGAAAAAGCACATCATAGCAAGTCAGCGATGGAGCATCCGTAATGAAAATTTTTGGATGGCTATGTGATATTTAATATCAGCTGTGTTACGCCCATGGACCTCATTTAGCAGTATGTGATATTCTTCACAAAAAGCTAAACCCTTTAGAGGCAAAAAGTATTGAAGATGATTTACAGTTGCAAGATTCTGAGGTGTGATAGTGATGATTATGATGACATAATCACATTTGGATGACGAGTCATACAACTCAACAATTGATAATTTACAAAGTTGCATTCATAAAGAACTTAAGCTTAAATAAGATGGAGTCTTTTTGCTAGTAAAGTATTTTTGTGTGTTTTTTGTGTCAGTCAGGTGTATGGTCTTCATGATTACTCAGCTACTGGTAACATGTAACCCAGTGCAACTTGTTCCATATCTTGCTGCCATGTGGAATTTGCTTTCTAAGCAAATGCTGAAAGGAGTTTGCTTCCTGTCATCAGTACTATTTAAAATCGGTAATGCCTATAGCAATATATACATATTAATTTATTACTAATTTTTTTGTGTGTGCGTCTTTTATATGGTTGTTTTATATGTTGCCTTAGTTACTGTTTTAGCTCACTGTATTCTACTTTATATGTATGTATTTGTTCTGTCGAAACCTATGGCCCAGTGTTGACTCACCCATTGATTGCTATCTGTATGTTTGTGTTCTGTCTGAACCTCTGGCGCGGTGTTTATTCACTTGTAAGTTACTTTATGAATGTATGTGTTCTGTTTAAATGTAATGTTTAAATCTGTTTTGATGGAGTGGAAGCTCATTTACTAACTAAACACTTTAATTTTTCAAACACAAACAATTGGGGCTCTATGTTTAGTAAAGGTTAGAGATGGTGTCTCGATAAAAATATTCATCTTGAGCAGATGTTAACTGCATCCAGCTACTGTCTTGAAGGAGGCCTCCTAGGCAAAGACTTTAGGGGTAACCAGAAAAATTCTGCTAACCAGCCTCGAAAAGATAAACCTGTGTGACATTGTTTCCTGCCTAGAATGATGAACGCTGGATTTTCTTGACTCTTTTTCATAGGTTTTTGCTTGCACCTCTTTGATAGTGGCTATCTAACTCTTCCTGTTATCTCCTAATAAGAGCACAGCTCTATAACTCAGTTTAATGGTTCTAAGGTCAGCTGGTAGTAAGGTTTCGTGAACTTTGTGGTAGCTCTCAGAGAGGCTGATTCCATCAACAGCTGCAAAATATCATTAGAGTATTAACATTGCCATGTCGCGCATGGATGGTGTCCATGTTAATGCTTTTGGTGCGCATTGTCGAGGCCACATAAGGAGCCCTATGTTACAATTTAGGGTTAATTAACAAGACCTTCTAAGCAATGAGACATTTGCATAGCTCATTGCTTAGAAGGCCGTGCTTTATCTATGAATGAGTCAAGTTCTCTTTAAACTTAAATCATGCCAAAAGTAACTTAAAATATTAAACATAAAAAACCATTCCCACCACCTGACTGTTTCAATATCTTTTACTAATATTCATGGTCTGCGAAGCAACCTTCCATCAGTTGAAAATACCTCTTCCAAAATACACCAGTCTTGCTTGCTCTTAGTGAGACTAATTTAAATTATGTTATTTCTTTTTCTGCTCTTAGCGTTGATGGGTACTATCCTTTGATTTGCAAAGACTCCAATAGTGACATGCTTGGCTTGGTGGTATATATAGACATCAGTTCACCTATTTGCCTGAAATCAGATTCAAATCCTTTAACCATTCATTTATGTGCTTCCCCTTAGCACCTCTTCATTATTTCTTTTTGTTCTTTATTGTTCTTTATCTTCTTCCCACTTTTTCAGATGTAATTTTTGATCAAATTGACCATGTCCTCTCTCTTTATCCCTCTGCCAATATTGTTGTCATTGGTGACTTTAATGCTCATCACGCTGAATGGCTGGCTCTAACACAATTGACTCTGCTGGCACTAAGCAGCATTACTATAACTTCTGTATTTCTTAATCTCTTATTCAGATAACTAACTTCGTGACTCGTTTTCCTGACAACCCTAATCTTCACCTTCATTCCTTGATTTCTGTCTGATCTCTGATCCTGGCTTGTGTTCAGTTTCTCCTTTTTCTCCTTTAGGTGATTCTGACAATGCAACAATCTCTTTAAATATTTCATCTCGTACTACCTTTTCAGACTCACCCTATCATTGCACTACTTACGACTACCCTTAAGCTGACTGGGATTCTTTTCATGATTTTCTCCTCGGGTTAATGTCTTTTCCCTCTCAGCTGAAAAATCTCCTCCTACATAACCTGGATTCAGGCAGGAAATAAAGCTTTTATTCCTTACCATCGGTCCCAAGTTGAACCTCATTCTACTCCATAGTTTTCACCCACTTGTGCTGCTGCTATATCAATTGTAGTCATTTTTTTCATTTTTTTTTGGTATGCTGGTCTTCTCCATAAGCTTGTTTCATATGGTGATCTTAAATTTTTTTTGAGATTATCCAATTGTTTCTTTCTAACCCCTTTATCAAAGTCATCCTTAAAGGCCAACACTCTTCTTTATTTCCAGTAACTTCTGGGGTACCTCAAGGTTCTATCCTTGGTCCTGATGATTTTTCCAATAACAGTACTAAAGTAATAAATCTAAAGTAGAAAACATCAATTCAAAATTTATCTCACCCTCCAAACATGTATTGAAAGCAGCAGCAAAAAAAATTTACACCAGGTTATACATTCAGGATGCAAGCAATAATGGAATAATTGACAAGAGTTGTCATAATGAAAACTGAATTTCTTCAATACTTCAAACAGCTGATGCTACATTATTAGGCAAATGAAGCTTGACATTTGAAGAAAAATTGGTTGCTACTATTTGTAATGCCAAACGAGTAGAAACAGGAGGTCTTGAAAACCCTTGCAACCTAAAAAACCTTATAAGGAAATTAATA